AAGCTTCTGTCTGTCTTGATCAGAGCTGTGACATCGCTTCTCAAAGAAAGCGTGTATGTTCTGCCAAAGCAAGATTGCATCGTTGTAAGATCGGGTGTGAGGACACACCTCAGCAACAAGCATCTCTGTGACTCGCGCCATCACAACCAAGAACTGGCGAGCCGGGTGAGAGGCAAAACTAACGATTGGCCTGCCTCCTTTCCATTCTTTCTTGAACTTGGGGAGAATGTAAGCCCATGACACACGGGCAGCACGAGATCCAAAACGGAAGGGAAAGGTTTCAAGAATCCGAGGTGGCACTGCATGTTCCATCTGAACCATGATCGTCGAAGGATTTAACGACAATGGCTTGAAGACCGATTCAGCAGTAAAAGTGTTCTGGAGCATCATCCAATACTTCACAGGGCAAAAAACATGCGCATGCGAGCCTTCATGATCCCGGACATGCCACACCAATCCTTTGGTCCTTTTTCTCAACTCACGAACCTGATCAACCGACCAATGTGTTCCGACGTGTTGTGAGTGCATCTTCCATGCCTTCTGCCACACACTTCGAATATCAATAGTCGGATAATGCATCAAGCCATGATGATCGATCCACTGCCTCACGTCTTCAAGAAACATCGTCCAATGATCCGTAGCGTTCATGAATACCGGATTGGAGCAACTGGACTGGGCCAACTGAGTCAAATCAGGTGGCAGGGTCAGCAACGTGGCGGAAGAAGCAATGTGACCCTGGACAACAGTCAGGTGTGGATGACGTCGAAGAAGCTCGTGGCAGCAACATGTGACACCAGCCTTTTGCGGCTCCTCATGCGGGTCCCACAACTGCAAGATTGGTTTATGCGAAAACAACACATCTTTGATTTTAGGGTGACTTTTGGCAACAAGCGAGGTCGCTGGAATGTGGTACGGCAGCAGTCGATCCGTCGATACATCCAAAATATCTCCCAACATGCCACGAACCAAGCGTTTGAAGCCTACTTCCGGCAGCAAGAACGGAGTGGAAAGGGGGCGGCATGTAGTTGGGCACCTCAACTGTCGAAATTGCAGCACAGTGTTCAATCTGGACCTGCAGATCGTCTCATAGAACGGGTCACCCAGATGAGTGGCCATCCTGAATAATCTGTAGAGAAAATCCGAGTCAACTCGGTTGCTGCGCAGATATTTTTGGGCAAGAAAGGACTTCAACCCGTCAGAAGCTAAATCAAACAGAATCTGATAACTGTATACGATGTTCTGAACAATGTGTGTCGAACGGAAGACCGAAGGAGTCAATCCAGTGAGCTGGAAATTCCGACGTCGAAAGCGTCGAAAAGTTCTCCATGAAGTCACAAATCTGCGAACACATCTGACTGGATCCGAGTTGGCAATCTGTGCATGTTTTGCTCTGACAAGAGAGCGAACCCAAGGAGCATTAAGGCGAGGCTGTAGCAAATTGATAAACGTCTGTTCAATTGTGTGCAAACAATCAACCTGTGGGACATGCATGATCAACAGAGGAATGGCCATGTGATAATTCTGTCGTCGATAATGCCAAAACAGCGAAAGTTCACCACACACTGACTTGCCGGCCCGGATCTGTTGGAATTTCCCCCATCTTGTACGCTCACGGTCGCCCAGTGTTTGGGATGATGATCCGACATACATAAATTTCTGTAACTCAGGCTGGAGAAAGATGCGACAATAAATCACCGACTGCGTCTGAAAGAATTTCCAGGTGTAGCTGGAGCATTTTAAACGTAGCTGAGAGGTCAACGGCGACTGTACAAGCCCGAACTCACAAGCAAGCAAAAGGAGCTTTCCACGGATCCAAATAACAATGTCCATCCACTGTCGTCCGAACATGGTAGGTGTCTCGTAGAGACCTTGGAAAAATTAATAAGCATTCCGAAGTAAATCCACTTCACTTCGGTGCCGTTTCCACCAACCTTGTGGCGGATTGCCGCTGCGATACATGTCCCTGGCATCCAGTATGGCCTGTAGTCAAGCCACAAGAATTGTTCCGGCAGCAAGAATACGGAGCAGGGAATTCGCCTTAAGCTTGGGAATATCACGGATGGGTACGCCCCAGTTGGCAACAACCTGATCCAATTCGGCCTGTTCATTGGAAGGAAGGTCCGCATGCCATCGTTGGACATGAGCTGTCCATGTCTGGAGCTTCTGTCGATTGTTCTTGCTCAAGTTCAATCCTTCGATCCAGGTCGATACTTCTTTGTCCGACTTGCAAGCCTTCCAACTGCGACTCAAGAAGTGACGTTTGCTTGGATCCGCGAGAACAATCTTCACAACCTGTCCAACATGCGATGTTCCATACTCAGGCTGAGGAGCAGAACTCGAATCTCCTGGGCTGCGACCCTGGGTCTCAGCTTCATCGGTCTCAACATTCAAAGGTTCTGCCTGATTCCCCGATGGTTTGCCTTTCTGGAATGCCTGCATGAGACTAGTTTTGGGCTCAGCCGTCTGACCACGAAGAAGGCGAGTTGCACCATCAGGAACTTTCTGAGCTGAGGGCGCGGACTCCGTCACACGTCCTGGGGGGCTTTCTTCAATCGGCAACGTTTTCTGAACTGCAACCTCTTGATTAGAAGAGCGGGAGGGGGAAGCATTCTTGAAATTCGCAAGTTGTTGTTGAAGAATCTGGATCTGATTTGCCATGGCTGCCTTCTCTGTGTCAACCGAGGCCTGAGGATACAGACCTAGCATGTAGTCAACAACCTTCTGTGCCAACAAGTGTGTGGCCTGTGACTTGGAATCCGAACCGCTGCTCTTGGAAGCGGGGTCACTGGTACCAAGCACAATAGAAGCAAGCTCATCCAAGTCGACTTCTTCATCTCTCAGCTTTCCAAACAAGGCGTGGCAAAATACAACTTCACCGATCGACTTGAAGCCTGCGAAGAAAGTCGGCTTTCCTTCTGCAATATGGCGCACCCAATACGAATTCCAACCTTGATAGAGCAACGAGTGAAGCGGTATCATATGGGTCGGACATCCATCAATCTGCTTTCGAACTGTCCAGTCAGTCTTCTTTACCCAACGAGCCAAGTTTAAGCCTGCAATACAACGGGAGTCCAAATAGTTCGGATTCTGGCAAAACTCAGCGGGCATCATCGGGCCGAAAACTCTCGGGGAGTTTGCAGCAGGTGGGGATGGGAGACCTGGAATGCGGGGGGTTGGCGAAATGTTCATAATCTGAGCAACACGTGGATTGGGTTGCCACGTGAGGTTCTGTGGCTGAAGCACTGCCGGTCTGTTCACTGGTGGGGCCGGTCGGGGTGTGGGGTGCTGCCAACTCTCAGGGGTAGGTGGGACCAAAACAGGCAAGGAGGAGCTCCAGAAAGGGTTGCGGCGGGGGGAGCGTTCACGATCCATGGCGGGATATGAGAACAACACCTGACTGCAGAGCTCAAGCCGGAATGATCTCCAAATGCAACTCCGGAATGCGACTCCGATCTGATTTCCAGAAATGTGATTTCCACTCAGTGATCTCCACTTGAACATGTTGTGAAACGGAAATGATTTCCGGAGCTGCTAACACAAGAACCCCGGTGGGCCGGCAACTTCGCCGTATAGCGACACGGCCCTCGTGAGGGAGCTCTTGCCGAACACAACTGGAAAGGCTTCCACTGACCCGCCTGCCTTCTGTAGATGACTTCTGTGCTGAGTGTACTTGTCAGATTGCGGCAAAAGTGCAGAAAGCGAATGCATATGCCCTCATGAACATGACTGTTAAATGAAAACATTCGATGGGCACACCTAAAACCTGCCTCAGAAAACAGAAATCCATTTCGCTAATCTTGCTGGCTCAGGGGCCCAGCTTTTTTGCAGGTACGTCCGACTGGCCAAGTCGGATATCCCATCTGCAACCGTAGCTTCGTTGCACACGGTAGGTCGCAGATGCCGTGTGCCCCTGCAAACTTTAAAACGAAAGGAGCATGAAAACAAGAAAAATCCATGGGTCAAAGCATGTACCTACAAAGGTTTGCAAACAGAAAAACCTAAGAAAAATGGACATGTGAATGCAGGTTTGTCGCATGTACAGCCCGGAGCCATGCATGGCGGGAGGCCGATTTCGAGAGGCGGGCATGCACGGCCCCTGGGGCAGGAGCAGGCCCATTGGGGTGCATCCTTCGGTGGAGTTGAAGGATCCTCCAAGCCCCACCGATTGGGCCTGAAGGATTTTTCGACATCCTGGATGGGTCCTTGAAGTCCCCATTAAGGCTGAAGGGTTTTTGGAGATCCTTGGGTGGTGCACTGGGCGGGTCCTTCAAGGACAAAGATCCTGGGGTGGTGCTGAAGGATCCTTCGAGGCCCACCGATTGGGTCCGTCCTTCTGGGTCCATGGGTGCGGCTACAGGCTTCTTGCTGAAGGATCCGTTTGGGGCTGAAGGATTCTTGGAAATCCAAGGCACATGGGGTGGGGGGTGGGTGTGATTGGTTCTGAAAGATTTTTTGAAATCCTTCAGACCTCTTTAGTGGGGCTGCCTAAGCCCCTCAGGGCTGCCCCCAGGACCCTCGACAAGGGGACAACGTGGCTCTGCTTGACTTTAAGGACTTCCAGCGATTAAAGCGATAAAATGCGCAGATGACGATTCCACCCAAACACGCTCCGCGATGTGGCAGGAGGGCGATTCACGTTCGAGAGGCGCCCAATTTCCAACTGCAAAGTCATCATATTTACGGCGAGGAGACACTGCTACTGTTGTCGAAAATGCCCACCGCCACAGCGAGCCGCGCAACCACAGGGTGCGCCGAGCGCGAGGGCTTCGCGCTAACACCAATCACATCCTCGATACCCTAATAACCCTAATGTAAGAACCTCATAGTTACCAGACGGTTTGATACGTCAATTCGCACGGCTTCTTTGCCGCCTTTGCCATTCAGTTCTATCCGCCGGGCCCCTCTGCACGCAAATCGCTGTCTCATTAGTCCCAGATCTCAGTTGCTGCCAAGGCCAGCAGTTCTTTGCAAATGAGCTGTTCGAGGCGCCTTCTGCAGCATCATCGCTGCAAGGTCCAACATCTTTTGCGGCCCACCGAACTGCCAGAAGAGGCTACCAGTGAGTGCTATGCGCCATGTGTCACCAAGCTCTAGCCGAGAGGTCTTCGAAGCCGACGATACGAAGACAGGAAGCCATGACAGGCGCACACGAACTTGCAGAAGAATGCTGGAAATGACCTGGGCAAATACAGAGCGAGGGCACCAGGCAAGGACATGAACCGAGCAGGCTCAGAAAATGGCCCAAAGAAGGTGCTGAACCTTCTTGAACTTGGCGTACATCTTGGTAGCCACCTTCTCCGAAATGGATCCACAGCGGTGAGCATGTCTGATGAATGGCTGCTCCTCATTTCCAAGTGCCTGCTGCGCCTTTGCAAACTGATGCAAGCGATTGTACGTGTAGAAGAGAAACGATCCATACCTCAGAAAGACTTGTTCGACAACGCCGTCCACATGTGCCTCTTCATGAAGCCTGAAGCTACAGTACCCCTCCAAATGTCTCACGGCATGCACCTCCATCAGCCTACTTCAAGAACACAGCTTACTCAGCCGAGACCTCTTGTGTTCCTGACTGGGAGAGACGTCCTGCACGCATGTTGACCGGGGAATAGGCTCTTCCATGTCCGGCTCCCTGTTGTAGGCAGCCTCATCGGCACTTCCCCGAGATGCACCAGCGACGTGGAACATGAGCCATTGCCGCCATTGCTCTTCTGGCTTAGTTGGGGATTGCGCCTTTGTGTTTCGTCATGCTGCCCACAAGCTTCCCCTATCTCGTCCCACAAATTTCCTCTGCCGGCAACTGCACTACAAGTACAACCGGATAGGATCCAAGTAGCAGGGAGAGCCCAAAGCTTACACTGAAATCCCTGCACCCTGAATCCTGGCCGCCCCCAAGCTCTGCTGAAGCCGTAGTTTCTCTACGAGTACATACCCCTAGCCTGAACAATCACTGTTTCAAGCATTGGAACAAGTCTCGAAGCAGCAAAAGGCCCTGGTGTGCAGCTGCAATACCTCGTACATCTCAGCGACAGCCTCCCAGTTCCTGCAGCGTCTGAAAGCCACCTGCCAGGTGCTGGATCGCCCCAGCGCCAGCGGGCAGGCACAGGCCTCATAGCCTTAAAGGCCTCTTGCCTGTAGCGTGTTGAGACAGGTCTCGTCCATGAACGCAGCTCCGCTGGAGGCCGCAGCACCTCTTGTTTTTGAGCGGTCTCATATGAGAATGATCTGATTCTCATGTCATCTCTCGTTTTGCAGCGCTGAGGTCGGCTCCGGCGTTGACAGTCTCTTGGCAGAGCTGCACCGCCTGTAGCAGCGTGGACACGCACTCAGAGGTGCCCCCCCGCACTGCGATCTGCCATAGCCGGCCGCCTCGTCTTTCCGACCGCAGCGCTCCAGCGCAATAGCGTGAAGCGCTCGAACGAGCCTCGGGAAAGAAGAATTCACCGTTGCACACTGGGGAAACCCAGCGAGAGTCCCATAATGCCATGAGGCTGCGGCGCATGTGCTGGCTGCTTCTGCAGAAAGGTAGCGCAAAGTTTGCATGCCTGATGTTGTCAGCTTGTAGCAGCTTTCATTCGGCTTCTCCCAGTGGGAAACATCGGCTGAACGGCAACCAGGGACATGACGTTTTTGTAGTTTCCATGGTCTAACGCGTCGTAAATGCCCTTCAGCTTCCCAGACCTTTGTTTCTGCACAATTTCGGATGGGGCCCGCATCTGACCCAGCCAGATGGCAAGAGTTCCGAGCCGCGCGCATTTTCAAAACGGCTAAGATGCCGCGACCCAAGCAGCCTGACACTCAGACCGCTTACTTTCGACAGGTTGTCTGCAATTAATTGGGGTGTCATGAACAGTCTCGGGCTCTGACCTCGGCCATGGGCCCCTGCTGAGACCCCTCCCGAGCCAAAATGCTGCTGTTTTGGAGAGGCTCAAGAGGGCGAGCATGGATACTGAGGAGCGCGAGGCAGCTTTGGCGCGCAGTTTTTTCAGCTTCAGAAAGTTGGGTGCCCGCCTTCGGGAGCAATCTGCAAGGGGGAAGGCCGTGTTGAAACAGCGTGGTATAGACTTAGTCTGGGTCGTATAATTCAAAGTTGGTCTTGACCTCATGGTAAAAACTTCGTCTTGGTTCGTACCCTAGCATCAGCATGAGCTACCGGACTCTGCCGCATAGACTTTGACCTAGCCTGAACGTGCTAGCGGGCTAGGCCGATCAAGGCCCAAGGTGCGGAGAAAGGCTTGTAGCCAGCATCCCGCTCAAGCGGAATCGAACGAGCCTCTTGCGGATAGCACGCTTGAGGCTTCTAGAGAAATCTTTGAAGATCTGTCCTCAGGCCACTTAAGCTGACGTCCACTGCCTCTCAGACTTATTCCTGCTCAGATCACCGAGCCCTGAGCCTGCATGGCAACCAAGAGCTTTCACGAAGGCTTCAAGTCTTCTTTCAGTGTTTCCCCGACCCGTCACTAAGCCTGGCGGCTCACTCGTCATCTTCTGGAATCGGGTACACGTAGGGATTGTGACGGTACAGCTTTCCCTTGCCAGCACATCGCATGCGAAACATCACGAATTGTCAAGCATGGCTCGTGACAAAGCTGCAACGGAAAATGTTGAGTTTCCCCCGTCGAACCTGGTTGATGTGGTCCCACACGTGATCCCACATTCGGCTCCAGCAGTACCTGGGCAAAGCTGCACAAGGAGGCATGAAAGCAGGCGCCCCCACAAGGCAGAGCACCCGCCGATGATGCTGGTCCAAACAATGAAGCCGTAGAACCGGGGAGAGCTCTTTAGGAAGGTCTGCACCAAATCAAGATCGAAAGCAGGCGCATGTTGTGTGGGGTAGGCGGGTTTCTTTGGTCACCATGTGCGCAGATCACGATCAAGCAATCAAGCAACTGTCACAGATGTCGCCGCCTCGTATATGCGGGTCGAGTTGAACGCGCGGAAAAACCAATCCATGTTGTCCTGCAAAGATGCATATACGAGTGGCATACCAGGACACCCGATCAAACACTGAGCTGGCCTGGCCCTCGCGCCTATTCTCTGCCCACCGCTCAATCCAGGCCTCATCGAAATCACAAAACCGCAACATCTTGAACTGTCGTCTTTTGCTGGCATGGCTGAAATAAGGAGTGACTCTACCTGGCAGGGTCAGGGTCAGGACAAGTAAATTTTCCAAAAAGAAGACAGTCCCACAAAAACTCGAGGCATCAGGTTGACCTCGTGACAGGAAACAAGACTTACCTGGGCTCCAACTGGCCTGGAGCGGGTCGGCGGCACTTCGGATGTTTTCCAAATTTGTGGGAGGGTTGTCGAGTCTCATGCCCGCAGTGCCGCAAACACTACGATGTTTTGATACTATGTGACTATGTCAGACCCTTGGAGATATCGCTAGATTACTAGTTGCTTCCCCAGACGTTGCTGTTCACCAAGTGTCGCGCATTGCAATTCACCAACGCTCACGAAAAAAGAGAGATCCCAAATGGCCCAAATTGAATGGGGCCCGAAACTGAGCCCTCCGCAGGCTCATGATCCTTTGGCGACCCGAAGCCTCCACGCCGCGGTGCCGAGCGAAGCGCCAAGCGCGCCTGCCAGATTGTGCGTGCTTGAAAACAGACGTTCTTTCTCACACAGCCCTCTGTTGGCAACTGAAGCACGAATGCAGCCACTTCGACTTCCTCGACAATACATGCACAAGACTTGCGCCTGGGAGCGTCTCAGCATGCCCAGCATACTCACCACAACCCCGAGGGTGGACAAGGCCGGCTGAGCCCAACACTGCAGCTTGCGTTCGCTACACAGCCTTGCCTCTACAGTGCTCACACAAGCACAAAAATCACAGGTGGGGGCGGCAGAAGAGCAGTCCATGTGCAACAGAGGGAGGGAAGGCGAAGAAAAGTAACAGTAGATAACAGTAGCATGAAACATGTGTTGTTCGAATCGCCGCGTTCAGCAGCCTGCCGGTTTTCGGGCTGCTCAACGCACGTCTGCCTGAGCGGTACACTGCTGGCCTCTATGCCCTCAAACTCACCTCTGTCCTCTCCCCTCTCCCCTCTCCTCCTCCCCTCCTGATCCTCCCCTCCTTCCCTCCTCCCCTCCTCCCCTCTCCCCTCTCCTCCCCTCCCCTCCCCTCCCGTCCTCCCCTCCCCTTTCCCCGCCCGTCCTAAACTTCCCAACTCTCCTGCCCTGCACTGCTCTCTGCCGCTCCCCCTCCCACCTGCCTTCGACTTGAGCACCGCCATCATCTTCATTATCACCATCATATAGCACCTTGATCGTAGCCATCATCTTTGTCATCACAATCATCTTGTCTAGCGTGTTCATCATCTTTATCACGGTCATCATCTTTACAATTGTCATTATCTTCAACATCTGTATACTCGTATTTCTCCCATCATCTATATTGTCTGCTTCCTCTTTCTCATCTTTGTAACCCCCCACAATAACTAACCTATCTAAGTTTAAACTTGACCGTCTCGTATTCGTCTTTTGTGTTCATCATCTGTTTCTGCTATTGCTACAGTTGTAGTCTTTTGTTGCTGGTGCTGTGGGCGCTTATAAACGGGCCGGGGATTCAGAGTTGATGTTAGAGCTAGGGAAAACTGTGAATGTACACACACACACACACACGAAAGCCAAACATTGTTAGCAGTATCATTGTTGTATGTGCTACATTATGATCCACTTTGCTACTATGATCTGGTTTGCTATGAAACTGATGGTACTTCTTTTCATGATTACAATTGCTCATACTGCTTACTTGTGCCTGGTTTGTTTATGACTATAGCTAGTACTGATGAAGTCGCTACTAATACCATTGGTGTGACGATAAATACTACAAGCTACTGAAGTGTACGGATTGGGGTTGTTGTTGTTATTCGTGTCGTCGTTGTTGCTGCTGCTGCTATTGCTGCTGTGGTTGAGGGAAAGACAAAGTCCAATGAGGGGGACACACGCTCTGTCTTCTTGGGCATCATACGCCTTCCCCTTTCATCCAGTCATTATGTCCTACTTCCCCAGCCTCCCTCCAAAAGCAGATAACCTCTTCATCTTCAACCTTTCTCGTCACATCATCATCGTCGACATCTTCATTGCGTGCATCATCATATAATCTCATGATCGGTGTTGTTGTTGTGCTGTTGTTTTTGGTGGTGGTGTGGATCATGTTGCAAGGTATAGTCCGGCTGGCACTAAACAAACAAGGGGGTACACTGCTTGTGCCTGGCGGTTTCAAGAGCATGAACACCAGAACAGAGAAGGGGGACACTGCTTGCGGTTGAGGGTTTGAAGCGGATCATCGCCAGAAGCTCCACCTGCAACCTTTTTCGTTTCATTGTAACCATCAACATCTTCATTGCTTCCATCATATCACTCCGCGGTTGTTCTTGGCTTGTGTTGTTATCATTGTTGTCGTGCTGTTTCTGTCATTGAAGTCGTCGTCGTCGCTGTCTCTCCGAATGATGCGAAAACATAAAATGCAAGAACAAACAAGGAGGACACTGTTCGCTACTGATCACGTCGCTGTCTTTGTCGAAGAGAAGCCAAAGTCCGACTGACACGAAAACATAGAATACAAGAACATATTTGGAATACACTGTTTGCTCCCATCCCCTTCCTTTGATCTTCATGACCCACGATGACCACTGCTACCTGCTAACTGTAATGATTGCGGGTGTTGCTGTCGTCCTTATTATAGTTGATACTGTTGATGTTGTCGTCTGTTGTTGTTGCTGCTGCTACCAGTGCTTACAAATGGACTGCGGTTTTTGGAGTTGATGTTAGAAATGGAAGATTGGAAGCGTATTCCCACCACAGGAGCGACCAAGACCAGCTCAACGGGACGACAAAGACCAACAACCGATACAGACACATATCAGGGACATAGCCGCAAATACAAGTATTGCAAACAAGACATACAATAAGCAACGCTTCGGCAACACCCAAGAAACCCATCAGGAAAGTTACAAATTCACATACGATCACAACATCAACATCAGCATCCACCAATACTATACATGACCACAATCAGCTTTACGAATGGGCTAGACTATATACTGTATCTGCCTGCTTGCTTGTGATTCGACCGATGCCTGACGTTACTAGCAATCCACTTGTGGCTACATAATCGGCAATGCAGGGATATCGTATAAGATACTCGACACCTCAAGTATGGAGAAGGAAATTCTATGCTTAGCCGTTTATCACGTAGCCAAGTACTATTTAGCTGGGCATTCGATATTGTACATATCAAAGCTAGTCAAATAGACCCTAGAGGTATCGGGCTCATATACATATATATATATATATATCCATATCCCGGACACAATGGCGCATCACATCTTTGTGGCATCCCTTCCAGACGGTGCTGCAGCGTTAGCCTTGTTGCGTTCACAAGAGTTGGCAACGCACTGCGGCGTCAGCCAGGTTCTGTGGCTGTCGCTATTTCACAGTGCGCAAATTCAACCAAAATCGCGGGCGCACCACAGTCCAGTCCCGACCGCGTCTGTCAGGGATGCTCGTCGCTCTCGCCACAATGCCGTGTGCGTTTGTGCCGTGTATTTGACAGGGCCAGACTTTCGGCCTCTCAAGTCCTTCGGCGTGGTCTCTCCCTTTTTGTGGGGTTTTGGACTTCTTCACCGGTTGGGTTTACGCCGGTAGGTGCAGACGCAGTCTTAGATAGTGTCAAACAGGGCTAGGTATTAGGGCTGGATGCTTGGATGTGCCCCATTACCGTACGCAGGTGCTGGCAAACTTGTTTAGATCTATTCCCGACATGAAGTTGGACAGAAGCTTAAATAAACCCACGAAATACCATTCAAGAACTTTCAAACGCTTTCAACTTGTCTGTCATTTGCGTTGTACTCTGGAACTGACTTTTCCACATGTCTCTGCAGCCAAGCAGGGTCAATGGAAACGGTGGTGCTTGTGACCCACTGCAGTAGTAAATGCATCATCTGCTGTCCTGACAAGGCCAAACCTGCCAGTTCTCGAGGTCAGAACGGCTCATTAAGCAATCTCATCGGTTCACCTGGAAGCATGCTGCACACACTGCCATTGCGAAACACGCGAGCTGCCATGCGACGCGCTGCATTGACCTGCTTTGCTGAGTTGCGGACTGTGGCATACACGGCTGAAAAGTCCTTATTTTGCTGTGGCTTCTGGGAACGACGACCGAGCGAAGCAAGCCAAGCAGAGAGGATCAAGCGGAAGCGTTTGGGCGAGGCCTCGTCTCCCTTGCCCGCGGCTCGAGCTGCCTGCACGACAACTTACTACAATTGGCCAGGCCTCCTTGACAGAGATCTGCATGTTTTAAAGGATCCCTCTCTGCGTGCAGTGTACTTTCTCCATAAGGACTCTAAGTCTGTACAAAAAATGATGTCAAGCACGTACTCTCTAAGTTTAGCTAGAGCATAGCACATACAGTCGAAGACATGTCTCCGTTTCTGCTGCTGGCTGCGACTTCGGGAATGAAGACGTCATCGATGATCGAGCTTGTTGGCCTTGAAAGCCTCGTTGGCAGCAGCTGCTAGCGGCATCGACCTGCAACATCAGAACTTCTTTGGGTCATTCCTCTTTGCCGACGCGGACTGAGGCTCCCACTGACCCACCTTGTCACCGAGATCCACGGCCAACCTCACGTCCTGAAGCGCTCCATTCGCTGACGCCACACGGTGGCGATCCACGCTTCACCAACAGCAACAAGAAACAGGCACACTTAGCGTTGCCTTCTGCTGGTGCTTTAGCGGGAAGTTGGGAGCAAAGTCTCCATCCAGCATTTTGGGGCCCTGCGCATCGAACCGGCGTGCAAACTGTGCAGCTTCACTCGCTCAGGTGAGTCATTCCATGAGATGTGCGAACAGCTGACGTGGATCAAACGCTCTTGTAACCCCATCGTTCAACTAGCCTCCCAATCATCCTACATTCCTACACCAAATGAGAACTGAATAGCCACCTTCAGGCCATACATCGGCGATGCAATGGCGCCCTCCTTGATGACCTTCACACGTTCGCTGAAACACAGGCAGGGCAATGCAGGGCATCTGGTACAGTACGTAATCCGCACTCTGCAGGTCTCCTCGAGGATGTCCTTCCCTTGGAGGCCTGCTTTCTGTCCCACCTCCGGCAAGTTGCGACTGTCAACCGGCTCCTACATGTGCTGAGATGACTTGTTTTCGAGCTTGGGCGCAGGCTGCGAGACCTTCGGACAGAGCGACCATGTTGATACCCATCACCTGGTGCCACGAGCAGCGTGGCGACTGTTTGCGACACTGTCGAGCTCAGCCATCGGCCATGTTGATGACCAGCTTCATCCTCGCTCCACATCCCACCTGACACCCGAATCGTGCCCTGTACACAAAACTCAGATGGCCTTACACGCTACTGAGGCTACACTAGCTCGATTTCCATCTGTGTCCACCTCCCCGAGGAAAAAAGTTCTCTTGCCCAAGATGTCAAGGCACGGCTGCACCTGCGCTGGGGCAGCGTCTCGAATCTACAGCTGGATCCCAAGCTTTTTTCCCGGTTGACATAAACTGTACGGTAGAACTTGGTGAGGAGGAAGCCTTCGCGGTAGATTGGTAAGTTGAGCCGTGCCTCCTTCTGGAGGGCCTCTTCGCCCGCTGCTAGGATCACCAGCTGGCCTGACTGCGTGGGGGTTCCACAAATCTCACGGCGATCTGAGCACTGAACCTTCACTTCAAGCCTTGGCATAGATTCAAGGAGACATGGTTGCTTACAAAGCCTGCCTTGCAGTGCAGGACCCTTGGAACCACTGACTGGTGCCTGGCGACAAGAGCTTTCACCGGAGAGGCACATGACACGGTAGAAACCGCACGAACCACGAGATAGCAAGGCGCGCCTCAACAAACCTGCCGCCCTTCGCCGTGATGGCCTCGGCCTCTCAAGGATGTTCACACGAAGGCAGGTGTAGCAACAGTTGGAGCACAAGACGCTGCACGGGGCAGCGGCGATTTCCTTCACACATTCCTAGCAGTCGGGGCACAGTGCTTAGAGAGACATGTCCAAGTAACCTGCACCGTCATTCATGCACTATGTCATGCACCCTTGGCACCGAGTCTCCTCGTCTACGGTTGACATATCGACAAAGCGCTTGCCCTTCGTAATGCCTGCACATGAACGGCACACGCTCGACACCATGTTCCCACTCGGAGAGCCCCCTCCTGCCAAAACTCCTTTCTCCCCGAATACCACGGCTCTTGCCGAGGTGGGGTCCGAAGTGCACCTCAGGACTCGGAACCAGACCTCAAAATAAGGGGCCTGACTTTCTGTTTAAGAGGACGAATGCGCTATCGCTGCCGGATGGGCTTTTCTAGAGCCGTGGCTGCATCAAGGGAAACTGCAGCATGTTTTTCTCTGGGTTGGCGATGTGTTTGCGGTTGGTCAGGGTTCCAGGGGCCTCAAGCACTGAGACTAACTCATGAGACTCAGCTGGAGGAGACTAGTGACGATTGTTCAAGGCCTGCGTTCCGGAAAATCAAGCCACCTTCGTCAAAGACTCCGCAGTCTACCGATCATTTCTGAGCTGTTTCTGAGTAAAACACAACTCTGGTTCAAAAGATTGCACAAAAGGGAACAGGTGTTGTTCGGCAGGCCAGAGTGCGATGGTGCAAAAAAACAAAGTTCGACACCCGCGGCTCGGCTAGCTGCAAGTTCACACACATTTCATGCCGGAAAGGAAGAAGCCTTTCTTGCAGCGAGATGACTCAAAGCAAATAACACTCGAAGCTGACCAAGATCGACCAAGCCCGTATTAGATGTGTGGATGGGGTCTTTTGCATGCAGATACGTGCAGCCAAAAACAAGACTGCTTGACTTGGTGCGGGTATGCACCGGGTCTTGACGATCGTGCGACTCTTGCGAACGGCAGACATGTCTAGCACACATGACATCAGCCATGCCCTTCAAGGCGATGGCTCTGTATCGGCGGAATTTAGTCTCGTCTACATCTAGGAAAAGCGAGCTGGTTCTTCCAAAAGAACCTGACAACCCGGGTGCGGCCGCAATGCTTCAGAGTGGTCTTCCAGACACAAGTACGTCGCCTCCGACAAACGAGACATAGCCTAAACGCAAACTTGAACCAAAACCTAAATGCCTGTATGAGGAGCTGAGAAGAGCCGAATGCAACACAATCGCCGAGCTTCCAACGCAAACGTCACGTCACAGGTCTCTACGACCTCTTGCGCAGTCTCGGCGACCTTGCGAGGCCGAATCGCATCTTGTTTCCTGCAGCGCGTCTTCTTCTTCTCATGGCGGCCTTGGCGCCCTTTGCCTCTAAGGGAGCACACTTGTCCCGGGATCGATTCCTGGCAGGTGCAGAGAGAGCCTCCCCGAGACAGTGCATCTTGGCATGACGAGCAGGATGCACCACACCGTCACAGGGTAGCCGGCATCGATTAATCGCCCCCTTGCCAGGAGGGCAACTTCGTTCATGACAGGCTTGAAAGCTCTAAGCTCTCCACGCCATGGCAGAGCCCATGATGCCCATGCCTCTGCCAACGTTTTGCACAAGCTGGTTTCGATAATCTGCAGCCGCGCCTAAATAGCCCACGGATGGCTTTTTGTCCATGGCTCACAGGCTGGCAAAAGAGGGACGGTACACTAAGATATCCTGGAAGCACAGCTGTGCGAAGGAAAAGCACGAGGCTCCGGTGCTACAGCCCTATTGGCCCCTCTTGCCGCAGGTTTTGCTCGCTTGCGCAGAGAATTCGAGTCGCACGCAAGGGGCGCGGAAGTTGGACGCCAGGGCATGTCCCTGCTTCTACACTCAATACACACTAACACAATGTAACACACGATGAATTGAACATGCCCAACTACCGTGTGAAACGAAGCCAGGGTGAGATCCATCTGGCACGGGCAAGCCGGTAGAATCACATGCCGAAGCTGCTCCTATGTCCTGACTCGAGCATGACATGATCCCCAGAAGTGCCTTCTGCACAATGCCTTTCAGAACTCTGCCGTGGTGGGTGGTGGGTGATACCTGGGATCTTCATCAGTCAATCAGTTTTGTTTCTCTTGGAGCCTTCGAATCCTTCGAGCTCGCGGCCGGTCCCCGGGCCGCGAGACCCTTTGGGCTCGTCCCGGCAACAGAAACGCAGAACACCAGCTTGATCCTTCAAGCCTTAGCGCCAGACCAGGTTTGGCCAAACTTGCGCTCTCTTGTCTGCCAGATGTCAATCTGCCGGTGACTCCGACTGGGCATGCCACCAGCAGCTACTTGTCTGCTGGTGCTCCAGTTTTCCTGGTAGCAAGGCCACTGTGCGTCTTGCAGTCTGATGTGAAACTACCTGACGGCTCAAAGATCTGGTCACGCAGTTTGGTCCTGGGTTTCTTCTGCTTTTTGTTGTAGTTCTTGTTCGCTTTGGTTTTGAGCTCGTCCCGTGTGAAGGGCCTGACAAGAGCATGCCATGAGCACCCGCACAATGTGAAATCTCACAGACAGTGAAATGTCTGTGAGCTTTCGCCTCTGGTCATCCTCGTCTTCGTCATCTTCATCATCTGAGTAATCCTGCTCAGGCTGGCAGCATTGCCGTACATACAAGAAGGAGGTTTGATGGTGGGAGCCGCATGGGGTCGCACTGGAGCGTGCAGCCAAGCCAGTCCTCTACTGTGCTCGGGAGCTTCATCTGCAAGCTCGTGGAGGTCTGCCCAGTTCTTGCTGGCCTGCACTGCTCCGCACGAGACTCTAATTTGTTGACCGGCATGCGAGAAAGTCTGCCTCGTGCTCTCGTACTCGTCATCCTCCTGCGATGACTAGCACAAAAAGGTGAGTCTGTAAGGGTAGCGTCGAGCAGCGGCTGCTTTCACTGTCAGAGCCAGCGGCCTGCTTGAGGGAGTCGTACATCTTCAGCAGCTCATTGGTTCGCTGCTCGATGATCGCTAGATACCTTCGGTGCACATTCTTTTTCTGAGACGAGGTGAAAGAAAGACGAGAAGGCAAAAGGCCACCGAGGCCGGCACACCATCATGTTGGCTTCTGAGATGCCGCTGCCGCAACCACAAGGCAGATCCTGAAGTGCAGCTGCCCGGCTCACACGGGCGCTCCTCCCACACCGAAAAAATGCGCTTCCTCGGAGGTGCAGCCGAGCCGTCGGAAAATGGACTCGATGCAGGTCCTGGCTTCTTGAACTCATTTCTGTCTGAGCTCTACAACTGGCTGCGAGCTTCAGACTCCGGGCCTGATATGAGACAAGGTCTGCTGCGACTCCTTGTGAACAGATGATCAAACCCTCATCATCACCGTCCGGACAGCTGGCAATGAATAAAGAGGTGGAGTCATGCACAGTTCCACCAGCTCCTGGTGCTTCACCTCATAGGTGATGGCCTTGCGGTCGATGTCGTTCCACTTCTCCTCCAAGTTCTCAAGGATCTTGGCCTCAGGGCGGAGGCGGTCACCCGGAGGTGGGCGGTGGTCGCGGAGTGTCAACAGACCGCTTCCACAGAAAAGCAAGCTTTTCAACATCCTTCCCGGAGCTTTGCAAGCATGACCCAAGTATTGGTCAGCATGGGTCGGACGGAGCAACACAGGCCCACTTACTAGCTGCCACTTCTTCTGCATGTCTGTTAGCGACAGCAGTGAATGAAGATGTTCCATGGTTTGGCTAGCACTGCTAGCGCAGTGCATTGCAAAACCCCCTGATGTGCATCACTAGGCTTGTTGATGTGCACCACCAACAAATCAAGACCAGAAATTAAGATGCATCTTGAATTAAGCGGCTACAAGTAGCCCCAGCACCCCTCGCTAAGCAAGGCTTTGAGAGGGATGCTCTTGGGCATCCGTCTACGGGAATCCTTGTCAGCCTTATCAGCGAGCGAAGTTCATGCTCCGGCAGCTGAAAGTCGTGTTTCGTTTTGTATGCAGCCAACCTTAGCTCAACATTTATGGAGATTTCCTCAACGATGATATGCACGAGCTTCAGGGACAGTCGAGGGGGTGTGGTGTTGCAGGAGCGCCAAGACTCTCCGAACCTGCAGCAAAAGTCGGCGGAATCCCTGAAAACTCAGCATCAAAAAGCAGCGTTCCAGAGAGCGGAAGCCGCTGTCTACCAATTTAGACTTGTGCATAGGTCTGCGATGCTGCACTATGGTCTATTTCAGCCAAGGAGCGACGACAGCAATATCATCATTGCTGCCACGCCTTCGAGCAACAGAAGCCAGCTCGGCAGCGACGTTGGTCGAAGTGAAGCTCCGCACCTCACTGCAAAAACTTCATTGCAAAAACTTCACGTATTCTCATATTTTGCAAAGCCAATCGGTCTCAGGAACTGAGCTGCGAGCTAGACCGCAACATTCTGCGTCAGAGAGCACCTTGGGCATGGTTTTCTGTCTCAGCCACAAGCCCTGCTTGACACTGACCCCGAAACCAATTTCCAGCAACTGAGCAGGCACATCCCAGAGGCCATCCGAAGCCACGACCACAAACTCAACCTCTGAAAGTGCCACAGAGCTGATCTGGGGCAGGCAGGCGAAGCCTTCAGCCTCCAAGTCGAAATTGCCCAGCCCCCTCGTCATGGGTAAAACTCCGCCCAAACGTCCCAGTGCGATACTTCCCCCGCACATCTTCACCCGCTCCACCTCTCCCGGCAGGGAGCACGTGTGATCCGTGCTCAGACGTTGGTTTCCACCCTTCTTGAGGCCCACAACTGCACGGGAATCTCCAGCACATGCGCACCACAATGCTCCACTACAGGTGGCAACAACCACTGCTGTGCTTCCTCCACAGAGCTTCTCCTGCCTGGCCAGTTCATTGCACTGCTGCAGGGCGTGAGAAAGGGCCAGTTCTGGCTTGGAGGGCCAAGTTGGCTGAGCCCAGACGAGCTGGGGCAAAACGCGAGAAGCGTGACCGGCAACCTCGGGATAGCGGTGTCCATCGAACACGGCCCACAGCACCTCGCCACCCTTCGTGTCAATAACTAGGCGGTCCTCTCGCTTGGCCGAATGGTCAATTACGAAACAGGATGGGAAGCAGCTCCTCCTGCACGCGTCCTCAGCAGCCACGGTACAGTGGCAAAAGTGTACAGTCTTACGCAAATCTGGCATCCCCCCACGACAAAAACAACAAATCTCCTCGCAGCGCTGAAGCCAAATTGGCTTTCTGGGGGTGCACGGCGTCGCAGGACTGCGGCTCGTCATCTCCAAAGGCGACTGCCAGAGCTGGCTTTGAGTCCCTGAGCGCCGTGGAGTTTTTAACTCCCAGTCCATCTCTCGCAGGGGAATCTGCCCTTCTGCTGAAAGGCTCCACGACCGCCAATGTGAAAGCTGGCTTCATTGGTGCTCTTCGTACTGAGGGGTTGGAGACACTATTCACCGGCATGCTCTTTTCATGTAAACGAAACCCGACCGCTAAAGAGGATCAAACGAGCCGCTGCGGATGCAACCTGGTGCTGGTTTTCGTGCATCAGCTCACTCCCTAACCGACCTGACATGCTGACATGGACTGTCCCACGAATTTCGGGCCTTCTCAGTGTCTTCCTTGCGGCTGCTCTGGCCACTGAGAGTAATGTACCTGCACGAGAAAGCAGCGAGGCAGTTGTCGAGATGCAAACCCGGGTGGTGCGGCTCGTGAAGCACAGAACACCAGGTCGGGGCACTCTTCCTTGTACTCGGCGATCTGCTGTTCGAGCTTCTCGATCTCCGCGCTGAGCTCGTTGTTGTACTTGAAGAGGGAAAAATTCGTGTCCTGGCTACGGTCCACAGTCTTCTGTCTTTAGATATCGTTATGGATGCACGAGCAAATCACCTCTGCATCGATGAAGTTCTGAACCAGCTGGTCAATGTCACAGATTCCAGTAGCCGCCTGGACATGTGAACGAACACGGCAGTTGCAAGCAGATCTGATATGCCTGCGGGCTAAAAAACACAAACATGCCGGCGCGCATCAAGCAAAGCTTGCAAACAACCACACCTGGATGCGTGCGAAAGCTTCCTCGTAACTGGCAACCTCGCGCAAAGAGACCAACTCGAGACTTGCCATTGCAAGAGAAGTTGTGTAGGAACAAGACTGCCACTCCAGGAAAGAAGATGCAAAAGTGTCCGGCCTTATCCTGATTGGAGGTCATCGTGACCAGGGACTTTGTAGTGTCCCAGGTGTGCCTTATCACAAGCATAATCGGAAGAGAATGCGAGGGGGAAGGCAGACAGCACGAATAACTGCACCAAAAATACAGGCCTGGATACATACAACGGACCAATCACTCGTACGTTCATAAACACCTACAAATGCACGCGAACACACACCCGCTGTACTTACACGAATATGTGCGTATGACATCTGCGATGTATCACCTCTGAAGCCAGCTGACCCGCTTGGGCAGCTCTTCACTTTCAAGCCATCCGCAGTCTACCTAGAGTCATAGAGCCTCACGTCTGCATCGCACCCTCAACCTCAACCGCCAGCCAAACTGTTTAAAAACCTTGGTCGAGTATTGAAACTTTCCATGGGAGTTTGCTACGGCGTCTTCAATGCTGGATGTTCTTTAGGGACAGAAAATGACAGAACGAATGTTTAAGTTCTATCCAGCCCGTTCGACAAACCATCCTGCTACCACCGACGAAACTAACCTTGGTAAGGTCCTCCATGATGGGTCAAGGATCGCCGCACGGCTTATATTCGTTTGCGGTGGGATTCTACGGATGTCTCCTACTAGAGCGATACTGGTAGATTTTGACAGAGCTGAAAAAATAGCCTCGCAGAAATTGAAACAGCTTAGGATCTGAATATGTGTTACAGGCTGGTCTATTTTAATTACGCATATTAGAGGGTACGGCACTGTACTCTATTGGGGCCCTAAGGTTTGTGGTCTCAACATGGGATTTGCGCAGGCTTTTAAAATTATATATGTACAAATTTCACCTTTCACGGAGACAGGTTTTAACGAAGGCACTTCCGCGGCGCAGATGTGTCTACGAAAGTTATGTTCGGATTGAACAATCATGACACAGCCGAGACGATCGCCAGAATTGCAAAATGATGCAAAAGGCTTACAAATATTGCTGGTCCCGAGCGAAACATGTTATTTCGGACTAGCCTATAACCCGCAAAGTCTGGATTCCATGAAACATTATGACAGGCAGTACACGAGCGATTGAAGTCTCGGAGAACATGTCGGTGACATCCAGTGACGCTAGACGTGTTTTTTGTGTTCTATTTTGCTAGTGTATGGTCGCTTTGGTTCCTATCCAGCCGTTACTTCAGGAACCAGCCGCCATTGTTCAACAACGCTCGAACACTCGCTCAGTGGCCTGGACATGCCTGGACGATCGCACACGTTTTGCTGCGACCGCAAACCCGGATACGGCCAAGCATCAAGAAATGGATCAGAGAGACTTCTACACTACACACAAGGCGGTTGCTCCGGGGTGTGGGACGGATCTGATCGGAGATTTCCTTCGTTACCGTCGCTCTCTGGTGGGAAATGCTTGATTTGATATGATTTGATGAGTCAGGTCATGCCACGCGTGCCGATCGTGGTTGAGATCTGACCCACGCCAATTGTGAAGATCACGCGATCGATCTTCTTGGGCCGGTCTGGCGGCAAAGGTGTCGAAAGCTACTAGCATTTACATTCACATGCAACAATCCAACCCTGGCCCCATCCAACCCGGTTGGGGGAGTGGTGGCAGCAGATCGTGACGAGAGCCACCCTCCCACTTATGCAAAGCAAAATCAGCGACGGCGACAGCTACAAGCAGAAGGATCGCTCTTGCAGGAGCACCAACACTGAGAGCACCCGTACGCAGAGCCAGTGTAACTTCAGGGCTGGGTTGCCGGGATGCACCCAACCGCGGCTTCCGTGACAGCTTCCTGCATGACGAGATTAAAACTCCTGGCCTTCTTGATCCTAAGCATAATCGGCTTTTGTCTTCGCATCAGCGCGAGTTTCAAGCCGGAATTGAAGCCTTCATCGATCGTCAAAGATGACGTCGCAGACCGCATTGACCATCATAACCTATTGTGCAGGCAGCTACCCTGAACAGGCACCTCAATACGGCCGCACCGATCGCCGATTGTGCTGCACTTGTCAAGTAGACTAAGTAGACGACCAGGACCAAGCACAATGAGTAGCCTACTATGGCTAAGAAGGCGACCTTTCCCGAGCATGGTCTCGTCGTGAAGTACCCATCCCAAGAGGTCACGATCGGGCATCGGGCTCTCAATCGTTTGACCGTGGTCAAACTCGAAGCTGCGGACGCGAGCTCCAACGTCTCACGGGTCTCGATACGCGGCTGTCTGAAGCATAAATTTCGCAGATGACCGACCCTGAAGCCCTGAGCCTTCCCTGCTCCAACGGCCCCTTGCCCACTCAGCCATCAGAGAAGACAAAAAGGGGCTTTTCTTCGGATCTCGCGTGCTTCTCTTCTCGAGGCTCCTGTGGAGTTCTGTGCGAAGCGATCTTTGGCGTTCATGTCCCGTTGGTTTCCTCTGTATAGCGCCACGATCGCGGTGAAGGAAACTGCATGGGAGTTGGTCGGCCTCTTTGTGGCATTGGTCCTGGAGCTACGCTGCTTGCAGAGAGATCTAGTTTGCACCGATAGGGTGCCGATCGGTTCCAGTCTGATTTGCCGTCGCGCCCCAGCACTGAGGACATCAAAGACGTTCTGCAGGGTCGTTGCATTTTCTTGCGCAAAAAGGTGAGACAGTAGGTGACCATACTAGGACCTGTCAAGCACTCGGTCCGCTCCAGGAACTGCTGTTGCTCGTTTGTTCCCTGCGCGCCTCACGAGAGGATTTGCCGCAGGGAGAGTACGGGCCCCTGGAGGAACAGAATAGATCTGGCGTCCACGAGGATTTGGCGAACACATTTATGCGCGGATGGACTTTATCAGCAAGGCATTTTCCCAATAATTGAGAGTGTGAGGTTTGCCGAAGATGATCTGATGGCTCGATGGTTCGCCCGAATGCTGGCGTCTAGATCTAACGCGCCTTGCGATCGGTTGGCGAGCGATCAGATCGAGAACGAACTGTCTGAAGAACTGAGGAAAAATTATGATGGATGCGGCATCCTCGACCAATGTCGTGATCGAGCGTGATGGCCTTCCTAGCCACGGATACGGCAAATCAACGGCTGCTCTGTCGAGCAAAGCAGGTCCCTCAATCCCATCCTACCTAACCGCACATTTAATGACTCATCAGGCATGAATTTAGATGGGCAGAAAACTTCCCGAATATCCATACACGCATGCCCCCCTGCAAATGTCAAACATGATCGCAAATAGAAACAAAGCAGAACCAACAGCAGCACTACTGCGCCGGTCCGAAAGTTCGTCGCACTCTATGTTGTCCACTTACAACATGTGTGTTGAAGACCCCTTTTCCCCGTAGACTCCTCCAGAAGTCCTCCGCCGGGAACAATTATAGTACTATAATTTCATTCCCGGATGATAATTCCTCCGCTAGCCAGGCTAGGGCATTCCTCACATCCCGTACTCCGCGTACTCCGTTCAGTGTTGCTAGCGGATGCGACGAAACTTTAGTACCGGACATGCTCATGGAAAAGAGTTTTGGACTGAAAGCGTCGCTGCAAGAGACCCTCGTGCACCTGTGTATGTAGTGGCACTTCCGGAACACGTGCAAAGAAGTGGTAGCTAAGAAGGGAGGCATGTCTCGAGGCTAAAGGCCTCCGGAAAGCCACGGTTTCACTTCTGCCCCACGAGCCTCCCCACGAGACGCACCCGAATCCATGCTGCTCATGGAAAAGAGTTTTGGACTGAAAGCGTCGCTGCAAGAGACCCTCGTGCACCTGTGTATGTAGTGGCACTTCCGGAACACGTGCAAAGAAGTGGTAGCTAAGAAGGGAGGCATGTCTCGAGGCTAAAGGCCTCCGGAAAGCCACGGTTTCACTTCTGCCCCACGAGACGCACCCGAATCCATGCTGCGCCGGTCCGAAAGTTCGTCGCACTCTATGTTGTCCACTTACAACATGTGTGTTGAAGACCCCTTTTCCCCGTAGACTCCTCCAGAAGTCCTCCGCCGGGAACAATTATAGTACTATAATTTCATTCCCGGATGATAATTCCTCCGCTAGCCAGGCTAGGGCATTCCTCACATCCCGTACTCCGCGTACTCCGTTCAGTGTTGCTAGCGGATGCGACGAAACTTTAGTACCGGACATGTACCACTTCAAACGCATTGCGATTGGAACTGAGGAGCAATAGCAAACAGGAGCGTCGGGAAGCACTACGCAGGAATGAGAATCCCAGGGGAGTCGTCTGGTCTTCGAGTCAGAAAAATTTGAGACGCCTCTACTGAGCACACGTTGCGCAGCAATGCTCACTTGCAAAGACTGATCAGGTGCAGACTTCGTGATCTTCTTCTTGTGCTTGTCCTCATCCTTGCTCTCACCTAAATCTGCATAACTCTCCACGACCAAGGAATTGGATAAGAAGCTCCACCCTAGGGGTGCGACCCTCTTGATTCCCACGCACCTGCAAAAGCGCTTGGCAGCAAAGTCTAGCATCATGACGTGCAGTTGCCGCCGAGAACACCAGGGTTTAGCAATTGACACTTCCTGCATGTGTGCTTCCAGCGTGCGAGTTCCCCCGATAATGCGAGACGGGGAGCATCAAGTTATCGCCGATAGGAAGGACTTCATAGGCTCACAAGAAAAGTTTCTTGCTTGTGACAGCAGCATGTCTGTGGCTGTCTCTGAAGCACCCGAAAACAACGACAAACTGCATGGTAACGGCATGAAGTTCAGTATGCTGGGCAGCCAGTGCCTTCGTGCGCATAAACTCTTTCATTCCTTGGATGACAACCGGTTCTGTGGCCGCAGGCAAGTTCAACGTGTGACCGGTCGGGTTGTGGCGATACAATTTCAAGCTGCTTGCAGGGAAGCCACGCTTATCGTTCTCGATGAGGCGACCTAGCTCCCGCCACTCCTGTGTCAAAAATTACACAGGAGGGCAAGCAATCAGAGGTAGGCTGTGTCGTTCAAGTGACAAGCTTGCCGTTTCCTTCTCGAACTCGGCGTGCTCCTTGTCTGCCTGTTGCTTCAGGGATGCCTTACTGGTCGGCGGGATGCACGTGCTTGACACTTTATCATCTCGTGGATGAACCTGGGTGACCGCCTGGGTGCCTTGCCATCTGCGCTTGGGCGGAGTCTCGAGCTTCATAGGCGGCGTTTGCCTCGAGGCGTGAAGCAACACAACGCTTGCGGGAAGTGGGGCTTCTTGCCATGCTGATGCTGACGGCCTGCTCAATGATGTTTGCCATTTCCTTCTTTTTCTGTTGCCTTAATCCCAGCAGGATATCCTTGACAAACATACTGCCGGCGTTGCTGCAACCAGGCATGACCGGCACTCTTGGAATGGATCTGACTGGCTTTGAACCGACCTGAGGAAGCAACAACTCGTTCTCTAACTTTCGGTAGATGTCATCGAAGACCTGACAAGTGCACCAGCATAGGAACGACAAAATTGATGTGTTGTGGGCGGACCTACAAGCAGCAGCAAGTGCAAGCATTCAATCGAACTTGGCCCCGTGCTACACGTTCCCTTCGAAGTGTGTCAATCCTGAAAGTCATACTTGCTGCTTGCATTACACAAATTGCTCGGATACGAGGCCAAGCCAGTCCAGAGATGACTAAACCACCATGAAGATTGCACCGCACGAAAGCAAAGCAGGAGGCTGCCTTGCATACTGACGTTCACACTGGTCCGAGTATCGTATCATCAGGAACATATGGGAACAATGCCTCTGTGGAGCAATCGTGGACCAGCCGACTGCCAATGTAGCAGGGCTTGCAGCCACTATCCGCTGTGCATCCGTGGTATTGACAGGGGAAGCGAATGAGAATTGGGTGTTGCCGACGTGTGCTTCATGAGCTTGGGCTGGAACTGATGGCTTTTCGACAGCAGTCAAGGATCCGGGACTACCTGTCCCACCCAAGCCTAGTACCAGGAGTACAAGGGAAGCTGGGACGAACAAACGAGTTCTGAAATCATCTCTCGGTCCCGGCAAGTCAACACAATCGTGACTCCGGATCACATCTCATCTTTCCAACTGCGGGTACAAACATCTTGCCACGATGCTGCACCAAACGGACGCCTTCGCAAATTTTCGACCTACATCCACCCTTCCCGTTCTGATTCCTGCCGAGCACCATTCGTTCCCTCGCACTCGGAACTGGCGGAAGCCAATGCACGTGAGTTGGCCAAGCCTACTAATCATTGTGTCGGTTCTCGATACTGCAGCATGCCGTGTGCGACTGCGTCAAGCTACATGCAACGAGTGCAAAAAAAGACATCAATTCTGAGACGCTTGCTGCTCGCGCAACGTGCGATTGGCGGCAATGGCTTCATTGAACTTCTGCAAGCCCTGTTCAGCATCTGCAGCTCTTGAGGCTGAACTGTCTGAACTGTCTTAGCGCAGCCTTGTCCAGTCTATTCTCTAGGATCCGGATTTGCTTCGAAATGGCCTGGCAGGAAGGCTTGCCAGCGCTCTGGTTCCCCCGAGTACAGCTTAGGATGCCGTGAACAGCATATATGTTGGGAACACACTTGGTCTCCATTCTGCCAACATGAGCGTGACCGTACACGGAGCAACACATGCACTGCCTTGCGAAATCCTCGCATGCAGATTTCGCGGCCTTTGAGTTGTCGAGTGCTGCATTTACACCGCCGCTCTTGGCCATCTCCTGTTGCCGAATGGCAGAGTTGCATCGTTCTTTTGCCGGGGACAGAGGACGAACGCATTCCTGACAGCTCACGCCTCTCGAAGCTCGAAAATCCGTCTCTGGGTTGAGTCGAGCCTGGGTCAAACAACACTTCCGGTAACCAGCGTCTCCGTACTGCATCTCAAGGCCGCTTAGCGAAAATTTGCCCAAACCTCCGGAACACCACAGATTCAGCCGCTGTGGCCCCGACTTGTCCTGGAGCTTCTTTGCCTCAGTTTCCTGACAACAGGCCGTCCCCTCAACGGCCCTGGCCCTATCTGATGCGGGCCCCAAGCCTCGCCATCTGTCTTTGCAGTGAGCTGCTCTTTGTCGGCCATCCTCAGTCCCCGGAGTCCCTGCCCCCGAGAGCAGCGGAGCCAGGAAAACTTCAAAGTGGTCGGTTGGGTTGTGTTGCCTGTGCTGGTGCTGCCGGTGAGGACAGGTTGCTTCAGGCCTTGTTCTGAAGTCCAACATCGGTGGATCTCATCTGTGCTCCTGTGTTATGACCCCGGCTTCTTTGACAGCGCACGACCCTGTCCCAGCATCTGCAGTTCACACTGTTCAGCGAACTGGGCGTTTGCTATCCAATCTCTTCGCCTGAGCACACTATCCATCAGCACATGCATCTGTAACTCCAGCCCTGAAGCAGCTTGAGTCATCGAGCAAAAAGAATATGCGAGAGTATGTTTCCATTGATGCATTGTTGCCGACTCTGCACGTGTTCGCCACGCCAGGTGTCTGCACTGCGAAAACGTGCGCATGCCGGCAAAGGCAATCCTCGCGCGCACGCGCGAAACCGACCAAGAGCGCCCGTATGTGTATGGTAAGAACTCGCAGGACTAGTCAATTCCAAGTCCGACTAAACTTCAGTGAATCTTAAGGTGCTCCCAAGGTCTTTCGAACCTTACGAACTTATGAAACCTTAATGAAAAACCGGAACAACTCAACGCAACATTACATAACATAGAACGCAACAGCCAAAACACATCATCGAAGCATAAACAAATACAGGTCCATGTATCTGTTTATAGCAACATAATGCAAGGGTTAGCAGACTCACAACCCAGGGGTGCTAACCATTGATAAACTCACACGCAATTCTTCAGACATGCTTCTAACCATGCTATCTACATACATGTCGTGCATCTATCCAGCATATTTGGCTGAAGAAGCTGTAGATTTCCACCCGGGCGCGCGCGCGCGCACGAGCGGCGTCCCATTCATCACAAAAGGTCCGCAAGGTTTAACGATCCTTCACGTCAGCCCATTCGCACTGGGCGATCATTGACGTCGCTGCATCTTTCTGCAATTAGTACACCTTTGTAGCTCACGAAGCTAGTGGGCCCGAGGAATAATGCAATATACATCCGTGATGAGCTGAAGTCACAGGGGCCTGGGCCTAGCTCCAATCGACACGATTCTTGCTCCCACGAGCCACATGACACGACTCAGATGCAACAGTAGCAGTGCAAAAGCAGTGATTCCAGTGCTTGCGCCAATTTGTACTCTGCCTGGTGTTTTGGATGTCCTGTCCGATGGTTCCCAAACACTAAACACAAGGACTTTGACAAGAAGGGCTCTGAACCCCAGTACTGGTTCATGATAGCTGCACCTCGATCATGGCCCAAAGCTATCATGCAAACTCAGGCTCCTACAGCCTGTTGATGGTCTCCTGCTGCATTTTGGCCTCTGCCTGTCACTCGATTGGCAGCAGATTTCAACGGCTAACTGCTGGACATTACCCACCGATGGCTCGAACATTACCTGCTGCGTCTCGCCTGAGTGCCGTTGCTGGAACGAGTTTCGTTGAGCTCTGCCTCAGAAGCCAGACGAACTCACTCTTGGTCCGGCCCTGTTGCGCCAGGTCAAACTGCCACTGTTGCAGCACGGGCCTTCATTTTGCGATTTTCACGCGTAAGTTTCTCAATGGTGGCACGCTGTTTTCGAATGGTGCCTCGGCAACTCACTCTGCGAGTCGCACGAAGAATGCGAAGCAGCTTCCCTCGATCGGCAGCCTTGAGAGTCTTCACTGCAGGCTCTCTTGTCGTTCTCCTCGCGGTGCAATTCCGCTCGGCATTTGCTCTGCAAATCCCCTCAAATGTGCGTGTTGCAATGAGCCAAGCGGCAAGGACGCGGAATTTCCGCTGGAGCTCAGCGATCTCCTGCTCGATAGGCTTCCTGCCACAATCGAACTTCCTTTCAGTCGCACATGGCACGATGCAACAGGGACTCTCTGCCTGTCTTCGTCCTTCTTCTTTTTGAACATTGCCTGTCCGGCACAGTGCATCACAGAAGTTGGAGGTCCACGGAAGCATCTGGCTCGTCTGAGGCAAACGCCATCTTTGACGTGCCTTGACGATGCTGGAACGGCACCTTGCAAACAAGCTTCGTTCAGTGCACATAGAACTGCCGGACAGGTGCGACGAGGAGGATATGGGAACACCCGGACGAACTCAGATGACTGATCAAAGATAGTCAAAGCACCACAAGCACGGTTCGGGGCAAAACTCTGAACTGCGTTTCCCAAAAGTACACCACGTTCCCTGCCACACACAAGACATACAGATGCACACCGCGCCTCAAAGCAGCCCGGGGCATGTGCGGTGCCCCAACTTGAGCCCAGTCATATCGAAGCCACGAGCTGAAGTGCGCTGGAAGGTTCCACACAAAGGTGCTACTCTGCGGTTCGTGCACTGGCAGTGAATCTACCGTGTCCGCCCTGTTTTGAGCGGTGCCACTCTTGGAAGCGACATCCCATTATCCAACTGTTGCTGCCAGCACTCTGGCACGAGGGCCTTGTCTTCTCAACCTCCAAACGTCTAACTGGCTGTTTGTGGATTAACCCAAAAAGTTCAGCTGAATATCATGCTCGACACAGTCCAAAGTGAAATCACCTCCAGGCTTCCTCACAAATGAAATTCGTCTGGCCACCGGTGCCGACCTGCCAAGAAGACTGCACTGCAGAGGAAGACGAACTTGTGCTCCAAGTCATGGGTCCAACTTGCCGCAGGATGTTGTGTGCTGCACACCAAACCGAAGCTCACGGGCGCGGAAGGCATGCCCCTGCCTCGTCTGAGGGAGCTCACGCCGGGGGCCACAACCAAGGCGCAGGTCCTTGAAGTTTCCATCCTTCTTCCACAGAACTGCAACCTTTTGTGAAAGAGGTGCCGTCTGCAGCTCGTGCAGTCGCAACTCTCATGCCGGCGCCTCAAACATGACTTTGAAGTTGAGCGTTCTGCAGTCGCCCAGCTTGAGAGTCTACGATTGCACGGGGTTCGTGCCCATGGGTGAAACACAACTCTTCAGCAATTGCGTCTGAAAGTGTGCAACAGGCTGACCAATCTGCAATACAAACGACAGCACACGCATTGCTGCGCTGCTGGCTAGCAGCATCAGGCCCAGTGCTTTGGAATGCGTTAAGCCATGGCGTGGGGGGCGATTCCACCGCAGCATGGCACCTCAACATAAATGATGGCGGCTAAGCCGTGAGAAATATCAAGACGTCCCTGCGAAGCCGACAGCAACACAAGAAGTCCACACCACTTAAGAGCCTCGGCCTCGGGGCATTCGAAGTCTGGGCTCTATATGTCTGTTGCTTTCTTGTGCAATGCCTGGGTTGGCAGGGACCCGAACAGCATGCCAGACGAATGCCAACGTCGAAGGGCTAATAAGACTTCGCTCAATCACATCAGACAGCTACCCGTCCGAACCGATACGCGCTCTTAGCCGTGTCGTCGCATCCTGTCTTTGTCTTGGGGCAACTCGTTTAAGACGTCCTCGGAGAGGGGCATAAAACACAGAGCAATCGGAGGTCCACAAGCAGCTCTCGTGGATTTAGACTTGCTCTTACTCCGTCAATGCTTCTTGTAATGCAGCCCTGTGGACTTTCGTCAAATGCAATCATTACACGAGTCCGCCTCAGGCGGTCCCTGAACTGCTCAGAACTTCTTTCTGGCAGTTTCACGTGACACGGAGAAGGATAAGGATGGCTCTTTTTGCACGGGACCCAAGATCTCATCTGTGACTTTGTCAGAACCCTTTGAGTGAGCCATTCCCATTTTGGCCCAGTCCCCTTTGCCGAGCTTTGAGCCGAGCTGATCTCGCGGGACCGGCCTTCGCCTCCCCGAGAACCTCGGAAAGAAGTGCTCTTTGCTTTGAAGCGAAGGGAAGCTGAGCTTCTCTTCCAGTGACAAACCGGGGAGCAGACCACAACCCTCCCCAATGTCGTTAACAAACCTGGGGGCGAAGTGCCAGCACCGATCCGCAGCCGAGAAAGCGGCGACCTACGGACCTGGGGACCTGGCCAGCTCCCGGATCCCTTGCCATCCTTTCGGGGCCTCGAAGCCGTAAGGTGCCTGTCAAAAACATGGCACACAGCACGCCTTGGGCTCTTCTATCCGCCATGTCACATGGGCCTCCATGAATTTCAGCAAGGCCGTGCTGGGGCCATCTTCAGCAGCCACGTCGCTCTTGATGTGCATCCTTTGCCCACCACGTTGCTGTGGCATGAATCTGTGTGCATTTTCAAGATTGAGTGTCGGACAGCATTCGCCGTGCCACCTGCCACTCCCCTTGGGAGTAGTTCTGGTAGCCCATGTTGAAAAGCTGGAAGAACTCTACCTGTACTGCACGGTCCAACACACCACAAAACCCATGTTGGCACCTGCGATTCACTAGCAAGTTGCGAGCTACCAGGCTTCTGTCTGAGGAGACGGCAGTGTAGCGCTCTCGCATTTGCAGGATAACCTCATGTTCAATTGTCGGACGAATGGAGGCCGGAACTAAGGGTCTGGTCATCTGACCTCGTCTGTTACGAAGATCTCTGCCAAATCCTGCAGGAGCATGCGAACAGACCAAACCTCTACTGCGAGTAGGTTTTGTTGGGCTCTGTGCCTGAACCGGACAGAGGGAGCTTGACTGTGCGGCTTGTTGCAAGAACCGCACTCCTTGTGGAGCACTGCCTTCTTTTCCTGCTCTATCTGCTGCCGGACCTGCCAAGTGACAGAGAGGCCTCATTGCTGGACAGAACTCACACTGCCGTTATTAAGTCACACTTTCGGCCTTGAACCTTTGTCGAGTGTTCCAGGCCAGCCCCTGGCACAACCAAGCCAAATAAGGACATTGGATGATGCCTACTGGGCCTAATGCCACCGCCACTGTACGTCAACTTCTACTTATACCTACAACTCCTACTACCACTAATTCTGCGATGACGACGCTAACAGGCTAACACAACTGCCACCGCAACTTCTGCCGCCACAACTACTGCGACTGTTCCAAATGCTGCTGTTGTTGTGTACTACACTTAAAACTATCCTATATCGTAATACTGATTTGCCTTGGGTCGAGACGTCAGGTCCACTTCCACACCTGAGCATAGCAGCTTGGAATCTCCACTGCGGCAAGGTAGTCAGTGTTTAGAGTTTAGGGCTTAAGGTTGGGCGAAAAGCTGGGATGTAAAGACGGTATTCCAAGAGCACTACTCATGTAATCCAGGTCGACGCAGTAGAGCTCCATCGGTGCTGGAGAGCCTCACCAAGAACAGTCCGAACTTGGGTTCCGCTTCAGCATATGAAGAACTTGACGGCCTCTCACGATGACTTTGTCAATCAATCGGCACTGGGACCTGCCGCGTAGTGATGCATCACGCAAGAGGCAGATTGACTGAGGCATCTTGTCGTCGTCATCAGCGACAGATTTTCTGCTGAGATGGGCGCCGGATGGGATAATCACACAGATCAACAACCTCGTGAGAAACCACAGCATCCACAGCAACAGTACATGGGATCCTGAGTTTGCTGCTGATTGCGCTACCATGACCGACACGCCATAGGCTTCCTGCTACAGGGCTGCACTGGCTCCGGACATGCCGGGCTTTCAATCGCATGCGAGCTGCCTTTCTTGGCTCTGCTACCAGCAGAAATCACGCTGTGCGCCCCCCTGCCCGGGCCCTGCAGGGCCCCCAAGCGTGACAGGCAGACAGTGGATCGCTCGATGGACGTGGCGATGCTCACGTTCGGCGATAGATATGAACAATCGATCTTGAACTCGCTGCCGACCTCAAGGAAAAGGACTCAGACCCTCAAGACCATGAGCCGGAAGCATCACATCCAGCAGTATCTGCGACCTGAGATCAGCACTGCACCTTCAATGGCCCATCCTTTGTGAAGGCCGATGCTCAGGTGCACCCGGCAGTTGGAGCCTCAGGCACAGCAGGTGCAGTTCACTTCATATCGGACTGCGGGGCTTCGCTCGGAGTGCGGCCCAGCCGATACTGTAGCCCAGGGTGTTCTCTATAGCTCCCGAGAAGAGGCCTGCATGTCACTGCATGTCATGTCGGGCCAGGACTCTGATGCTCTCAGGATGCGGCGAATGGTGGACAGCGCCAATGACACATGCAGAGGAAACTATGGCACCTGCACGGCCGACTTCTCTGGACAAGCTCACGGAGATATTCGTACCTCAGCAGCTATGCCAAGCAGCCTTCTGCGTATTTCTGCATCAGCTCGGTACCATCTAGTCCTGACCGGCATGGGGAAATCCCATGAAGCAAGTTCTCGCTGTGCGGAAGACGTGTTGCTATACTTGACACAACGCCCTAGTCACGAGTCAGCATTCTCTGAAATTCTGAACGATAGTCTGACCAGTCCTGCATCGTGGCTCTCCTTCCAAATGACCAGGAAGGAATCACCAGTGTTCTTGTTCGGAGCCTTCATCGGTATTCTTTCAAGTGCCGCTTTAGTCCATGAGAGACTGTGTTTGTCGACTGCTTCTCACCGAGCCAAGTGCTCCGTGGAATTCGTTGCAAACTCCATGAACCTTAGTGGTTGAAAAAATTGCTTTCCTCCGGGACGAGGATCCAAGAGGAGCTCCACTGGGCTGCGAACGATTTCCGCTATTTGGTTGGAGAACATCATGACCTTGGCCTGGAGGACCTGTTGCCGATTGCACAGCACCATATTCATCCTGACCATTTCTTTACAACCTTAACAGCTGCCACCTGCGCAATTCAGGTCATGAATCGTCAGCTTGCGCACACACGCCAGTTTTCCAGGGTAAAGTGCACATCCCAGCAGCACCGCCATGACTGCATGGTGGCTTCCGAAAAAGTTGTGAAATATGGACAGAGATGGAGAGACTGCTTGAATCAAAAGTGAGAGAGATTCGAGACGAAGTTGAAAAGAAGTTTAAAGGAAAGAGTTTGAGAGAGCATTGGATAACTTAAGATACCATGAAGAAAAGCTCGAACAAATCGCACAAGTGTGAGAGATACGACCACGAATCCACGTGGGGCCTTGACGCATGAGGCACAACAAAGCTGTCACGCCCTGACCCCCTGTTCTAAGCGGAAGGATCCACGCTTGAACGCCCCAGAAGAATTCCGACCTCCGTGGCGGTGCTGAAATCGCGCACACGAAGAATGCCGACTATACACCTCAGTGAAGGTCGAGACTCCGATTGCAATGGAGCTCCTGCCGAACCATGTGAAAACTGAGCTGTCCGGCTCGCACTTGCGCCCTGGCACCATGGCATTCACACCAGCCGAGTCGGAGCCACTCATGTTCTTGCCTTAGTTCAAGGACGCAACTGGGCTGCGTTGAATCGGGCTGTGAGACAGGGGTGCCGGCCAATGATGTCGGCACCAGCTTCGCCGAAGCCCAGGGCAAGCAAAGATCCAAGCCTTTGTTCGGATTGGCACGTGCCCTACTCCAAAGGGGCACTGTTCGGCTTTACCTGCAAGCAAGAGGCTTAATGATGGTCTTCTCCAGAATCACCGTCTCCATGACCTCTGGCCGAGAGGCACATAGTCTGGAGGCTTCCTCGCAGCCAGGAGATTGGGCTCATGCTCGCCGTACGCAACGGCAAGCTGTGTGGATCTACTACTGCCTCTAAAAGCTTGAAACGGTGGCTAAAATGTCTTGCCATACGTGCACAGGTCAGCAGCGAGTCCATAGCGATTCTTCTCAGTGGCTTCTGCTTGTTCCTCATCATACTTTCCTGGCATGGTGGTCAAGCAGCTACGCTTCACATCATGCGACGGCCCGGCGATACGCCACTGGCGTTTCTGCAATTTGACGTCTGCAGGAAATCCGTTGTTACACAGACAGAACACAACCTCTAGCAAGCTGCCCCTCATCCTGTTGTGTCACCTTGCTCTATCGACCACCACTGCATAGAAGGCCCATTAAACTTACCGCATCCAACTGCCGGGAGAGGCGCCTTCTTGATTTCTTCAGCCTTGAACTCGTCATCGGCCTGGGGGCTTCGAGCTGCACAGACGATCGCCCACAAATCCTTGAGGCCCATGCCATCTTCATGGCCAGCAAAGGCTTGTCTCGAATCGCCTTGTGCAACAAGACACGGAAGCGAGCTTGCGAAGACGCTTCGCACACGACGCATTTTCGCCTCGATCCGCTCAATCATCTTTTCAACCTCAGAGGTAGAAAGCTCTCCGATAACGGACTCGAATGAGCCTGGCTGCTGGCGGAAGCTATCCTCTTACTCGGGCACCGGCAGGGCGCAGCACCAGTCGATTTGCATCGCTCGTAAACATCAGAGATGCGGTGACTAGAAGGACCATGACGAAAAACGTCACGCCCAAGCTGAACCTCCGCACAGGTGTGGCAACTGTAGCAAGGTCAAGGCAAGATCAGGGACCTTTGAGCTGTGTCGCTTGCCTCCCTGCCACTGTTTCTGAGGTGGCCACGCTGAGGTCTGACGATTGAAAGGCCGCATGTCATAGTAAAAGGTGAGGTAGTATGACCGCTGCCCTCAGGAATTCGACACTTGCCTGGAGCACAGCATCAATAACCAACTCTGAGCTCCCCACGAGGAACTATGAACTGCGTGAAATGCGCCTGACATTTTCATCTGGAAACGCTCACCATGAAACGAAATCTCTGACTGCCACTAGAAGTGCCTGAATCTCCGTCGCACGGAGATCTAACGGGCAAGACACCTCCGGAAATCACGGCTCTGATTCGAAGAGCTTCGACAGCTCGAGCTTTCAGCTTAAATTGATTTTCTCAGAATCGACCCACGAGAGAATTACCAGAACAGGTCCCACGAACCTGGTGGATGTTCAAGCCACTGACGGCGTTCTTCAGGAGCGACAAACCGAACAGGTCCTCGGAGCGCAATATAGCAACATTGCCTAGACAGTCACGAAACTCCACTCCGAGGCATTTGCAATCGTTGACGTCGCGCACGACTCTGCCCACGGCTCTGACAAAGTTGCCTCGCACAACGGGCTACTCTGCACCACCACGCGTCACCATACCGTGTCCAATGTCCGTACAAATTTGCAGGGAATCCGTTCATGTGGCACATCACAAAGGGATGCCTGCATCTGAGACTTATGTACCCACGCTCAGTTCAGAATTCACAACACGATGTGTCACTGGCACTGCCGCAACAAAGCTGGCGGCTAGCCATTCAGGAGGGCACGGAGCTTGACTGTGTTTATCTTGCTGTCAGGATACGTTGCTGCGCTTGGGTTTTGTGCGCTGCTGTTCGCACATATCAGCCTTGCACGACTTTTGCTTGGTGCAACGTTTGTGTTAGGTCGCGTGATGCAGCGTGCATTGAAGCTTCTCGTTGAGCTTCGAGCACCTGCTGCCGTGAATCTGTGTGGCACATTGCGACAGCATGCAACATTGACATTGACTCGTCTACAAACAATAAAGTAAAGATGGACTGTCTTCTTCTATCATTTAAAAGCATGCTCATCGATTTGCATATCTACTTTAAGCCAAAGTAAATTCCATGTCCTCAAGTCCTGAAGAAAAATGTTTCCTAAATCTTCAACCTAAACCCTAAACCCTCAACCTTAAACCCTAAACCCGAAAAAAAGTGCTAAACCTTAAACCCCTCAATCACTCTGCTTTTCAGGGTCGACAATGCCGTGTGTCCCAGCCTTAACTTCGGGTGGCAGGGTTCCCAAGGACATCCAGAGGTCCTGCAACGGTTGACATGAAAAAGTAACTGAAAGCATACAGCATTTATGCGTGCGCTGCCCCTTTGTTGCTTCTACCAGCAGACGAAGGCCTGGGTATTGTACGCGAGGATGCGATTGCTCTCGAAGCCGGCCACGACAGTGGCATTCAGCTGTGCGTACTGCGGCGACGAGGCTCGTGAGGCATAAGCCAACAGACACGAAGAAGCATGCTTGCTGCTGCTAAGCCCACACTTGTGTGCCACAATGCAAAATGGCCTGCAAGGCGGAACTCAAGTCCACCTCGCCCCGAGGCCCTGCACGAGCAAGCTGTGGAAGCGGTTCAACAAGAATTGACTAGCTAGACTTGTCATGCAACGCATGAGACCATGCATCGCATGCGTAGTATGGCTTGCTGTGAACTCAAACACAAGCCCGCTCAATGCCGTGCAAGCTCGGGTCCTGCCAGGCCGATCCAGAACAGTGAGCCTGTCAAGATTGACTCCGCCAAAAATCGACGTAAAAAAACAAATCGAGGCAGAACTAACTGATCCGGCCAACTCATCTCAGCTAGGTACATGCTGCATCTTCGCTTGCACTTCGTCGCGGTCATACGGAAAAGCCAGCTCTCTGAGAAGGGATGCAGGGAAGTCGTGTTCATTTGTCCAGCCTAGAAATCTTCCAGCACAATTCGCAGTCGGGCAGTAAATCCCCTGCAGTCAGCGAGCTCTGCCCAAACGCTGAGTGCTGCTAACCATGCAAGTCCATGATCCTTCATCCTGTCCTCTGCTGCAGCAACAACAACAACAGCAACAACAACAAAAACAACAATTTATTATTAGACGCTGAGCGAGCGGGCTCTGCTCATTGCGGGCGTGTGAAACTGCCTTTGCACCTGAGCAAAGAGCTGAGAGCAGAACTGCAAAGGGCCTGGGCCTGAAAGCGCTGAGACAGGCTAACGTTAGGAGAGAGCTACCCTACAAGCTACCTCAAAAGCCGGTTCATGCGTCTCAGGCGTAGGTGAGAAACCCTCCGTCACCCTCAGTGTGGACTATGGCGTCCCATGTCCACGAACCAATGATTGATGAGCCGTACCCCGCGGGACCGTCACTCAGAGTGCCTGTTACGTGGCGTCCCACTCATGGTCACTCTCAATCAAAGGCGATGGGCCGTAAGGTCGCAAAGGTGATGAGCACGTGGAACGGCTGCTAGTGCTGTTATCTGAGGTAGCTCCGCTTTTGTGGGCAAGCAGATTGCATCGGTGAACGATGTGGCACACCCTGGCGGTTAGCACACTGTGCCTAATAAGGCTAACCTTATTCGTAAGAGGCTCCAGAGGCCAGGCTTGCCGGCAATGGCTTGGGGGCCTCGGACAACCCCCCATTCTCGAGCCGAGAATGGGGGTTTGCAAAACCTTGATTTTTAGGTCTCGGACAAACCCCCCTTCTCGAGCCGAGAGAGGGGGTTTGTAAAGCCGATTTCTGCCATTGGTCAGCTGTGTTGCTGACAGGCGTTGCCCTTTCTGGGAAAGCAGCGAGCGTTGCCCGACTAGCATGACAGGTATAGGCCGCGATTGCACACAAACGCTGAGTAGAAGAGCTACGTCAGCTGTACAACTTGAGCAGCAAAACTGAACAACAGCGTTCCTGCTCCCTGCCGTGTAGGCAGGTCGGTCCCACAGAGCCAGTAGGTCGCCCCCTTCCTGCAAGGGGAAGTAGGGGCCCCTGGCCTCAGGGGAACCCTCAGCTTAATCATCTGAAACTTGGACTGGCATAGGGCCAGCCTCCGCTGCGTGCGGTGATGAACCAAGTCGCACTAACAGCACATAGCAGCCGTGGCGTGCTTGCCTGAGATCTGAATCTGAGGCCTGAACCGACGGACGACCATCGTCCGTGCTGAGCCAAGGTTGATCGGGGTTGCTCCTCCAGAGGGAGCGATAATGTCCACTGTGCGGGGTGTCACCTATGTGGAAGATACAGGACTGAACCCATCCTTTCTCTAGTTGTACGGAGCCCGTCGGGGCCCACTGCGAGAGCTGAAGGGGGTGGTGCAGACCAGTGACAGCATAGCTGAGCTTGCGGCCTTCAACAAATCGCGCCACTGAGAGAACCACCAGTCGTTGCTGCCCTCGAAAGGCGGTGTGCACCGGCTGGCCAGACCACCGAGAGAGCAGCTCCTGAAGTGCATGGGATCCACCTGTCGTTGGAGCTGGCAGCAAAGCGAGCGGACCTCCCGCATCGGTGACCTCAGTAGTGTTTACATCCCTGACTTCCCAGGGTCGTGCAATCGGAAAGGCGGTAATGCCTGCAAATAAGGCCACTAGAAACTCCGAAGCATCTTGTTGTTGGCCATCATAGCGCCAAGTGGGAGTAAGATGGCGAAGCGTGAAAGAGGCAGTCAGGGTGAAAGGAGAACCAGAGACAGAGTCGGCCACTTCCTGATGGAGGGAGGTGCTTGCCCCTCCGTGCTCCAGCAAGATGCACGTCGGCACCAGGGCCGAAAGCGTTGAGTTAACATAGCAGTAGTTGGAGATGTTGCGCAGCGAGCGGGGAGCAGCGAGCGCGCCGTCCTTTGATTCTACCGCCCCTGACTTCGGTGGCAGGGGGCCTGCAGGCGTTGCCTGGCGAGTCTGGGGCGTTGCTCCAACAGCGGTGGTATCGTCCCGTTTGGGTGCGTTGCCTTGTGTCCTGCCAACCGCTGGCATGTACCTGCGTAGCGGTCCGCCCTGGCAGCGGGAAAGTGCATGAACCAAGTCATAAAACAGAATCTGAAAAAGGATCGGACATTGTGCCGGATGCTGCCTCTTATCCGTAACAGGCTTGCGGCAGCACGGGCAAGGCATGCCCTTGACAAGGGTCAGGCCTGATTTGCTGCTCTGAGTTGCAGCTGTAGCGCCATGAGCCGCCCATTCAGGTTTGTGGGCCTGCCGGATGTGAGACTTGAGCTTGGTATTGTCCGGGGTCCAGAACCCACACAGCAAGCAATGTGACATAAGATCCTGAGACTCATCAGATCGCCCGAGCTCCACAGCCGTGTGTGTTGTCAGAGCGTCGTGCAAGCGCTGCTGCCTGGGATGCAACCTGGGCTGATGTTGCGAATCCAAGGGAGGGTGCGCCGCATCATCGAGCTCCTGTAGCCTAGCTGGCTCCGAGCAGGCACCTGATAACAAGTGGTCCTTTAAGCCCTCATCTGAGGGAATTGCCTGTTGCAAGCCGCACACTTGGGGAGCCCTCCTACAGAGAGGGTGTGGGAGAAGCCTCGAGGGACATATCTGATGACCGAGCCTGGATGCTTGCGGGCCTGGTGGGTGCGTAGGCCAACCTCGGTGTCGAAGGCCTGAGCACACGTCGGGCACACAAAGGACGGGGGAGACGCCTGCTGTGATGTGTCCTTACAGAGTTGCTGCAGAACGTCTGCATAACTAGCAGAGAGTGCCTCCGCCTGGAGGAGCGCTCGCTGAGTTAAAGAGATATCCCCAGCAGGAGTCTTCCGCTGTCGAGTACCTAAGCGCTTGACCCGATTGGCCTGTCGCGCCTGCAGCTTACGGACAGGGTCTATGATCTCATGGGAGGCATAGAGGTCAGCTGTGGATATGTGTGTCAGGTGCGCTGGCTTGTTCAGGACAGCCCGGATTTTGCGAGCGTGCC